CTCTTTAGGGTGTTGGAGCATTTGTGATAAATCCTTATTCAGGAACTTTCAAATTGCAGCCCCGGGAATTTTGATCTGTAGTTTTAGAAAATGACCCTTTAGCCATCACATCTCCAGTCTAGTAAGAAGGCCATCAACGGTCTGTGTAGTCAATTTATATAGCATATACGTGTATTTGTATCATATATCTGTAAAATCTTTTTTTCTTCTTATAAAAGTTATGCTTTATTATGGAAAATTTAGCAAATATTGAAAGTAAAATTTAACCAGAGGAACATTAAAACAACCTATAATCATGCCACCCAGAAACAGCCACTGTAAATGTTTTGTCTTGGCTTAGTACTGGTCTTTTTTCATGCTAAGTGTTGGTATGTTCTGGAACATGTTACTGTGACTCATATTATCATGTCTCACTTCCCTCTCCCTTGTCATTTCCGCCAACCTCGGGACCCCTTTGGCATCCTCTCCAAGGGGACTGCCACATCTTTCTCCTGCCCTCGATTGCTCTCCAGCGCCAGGTCTGCGTGTCTTTCTGTCTGTCTGCAGATACACAGAGTGGACGTGTGTCGGAGCACCTCACGCTCAGGATGTTCCACACTGAACTCACGCTCCCTCTAAACGCCAGTCTACTCCTCTCCTCTGTCCCCTCCTCTGCCACCCTCTCAGTCAAAATCAGCTCACGGAGGACTCCCATCGCCCCTGCAGACAGATAGCCACCGCCCTGCCTTCCTCCTCTGGGAACCATCGCTTTGCACCGTCCCCAGTCATCTTAATTCCACCCTTGACCACTTTCTGCTCAGCTGCTGGCTCGTCCTCATGGGCCCCTTCCTCAGAGCTTCCCCCCGGGCTGTTGGCTGTTCCTAAAAGCACAGGCTCCCTGTGCTTGGTCACTCGGTCACTCGGGTCACTTGGTCACCAACGCTCCCGAGTGCGTTGGTCACTCGCGGCTGTGAGACTTGGGGCAAGTTGTTTGATGGTGCTGTGTCCAGTTTCCTCAACTCTAAAACGAGGTTAACGATACGACCTGCTGCAGAGCTGGTGAGATGATTACAACGGTGAAAACATCTAGAACATCAGAGTAGTTCCTGACACGTCATAAGCACACTCACTACAAGTTAGATAGTATTGTCTTATTGGCAACTTCACGTGCATGTCCCCATGCTAATTTAAACCCCAGCCTCCTCTGGTCTCTGAGTTGATCTTTCCCTCCTCTGAAGTCCCTGCGTTCTTTTCCCTGGACCTCTTCCAGGGAGCTTAGCAATTTTTAACTCTCTCGCAATTTCCATACTACCATTTATTGTAGAAGTAAACTTGCTACTTATTATTACAATCTGAATATTTTAATTATTCATTCATTTTTCCATCTCCCCTTTTAGACTGTAAACACCCTGAGGGCAGAATCTTTGTCTGATTATTTGTGTGTCCTCCCAGCCCCCTCACTCCATGTAATGGCTTGCATGTGGTAGACTTTTATTTTGGTAACAATTTCATTAAGATGTAATTCATATATAATACAATTCAGCCTTTAAAGTGCATAGTTCGATGGTTTTTAGTATATTCACAAAGTTGTGCGACCATCACCACAATCAATTTTAGGGCATTTTTGTCATCCCAAAAAGAAACTCTGTACCCTTTAGCTATCACCCCTGACTCTCCCCACTCCCTCCAGCCCCAGGCAACCACTATTCTTCTCTGCTCTACACTATTCTACGCAACCACTAGTCTACTCTATGACTCTATGGATTTGCCCCTTCTGGACGTTTCATGTAAATGGAATCATATAATACGTGATCTTTTATGACTGGCTTCATTCATTTAGCGTAATGTTTTCAAGGTCCGTCCATGTTATAGAATGTGTCAGAACTTCCTTTCTTTTTTATGGCCAAATAATATTTCATTGTATGAATATACCACACTTTGTTTATCCATTCATCAGTTGATGGACATTCGGATTGTTTCCACTGTTTAAAAAAGTGATTAAAGAAGACAATTTAGGTGATACGAACAAATTGTAACACCTTATGAAGCAGACAGTCTCCTTTTGGAGATCTGCAAAATGGGGTGGAAGGCAGGAAGCTTTTATAAGATAAAGAAGAAAGAAGAAGGAGGAGAAAAATAGAAAATATCTAATTGGCTGGAGTCACAAGTCAACCTTCTTTGGGGTGAGAAGGAACAAGGCATTAAGCATGGAGCCCAGAGCTGACTTGGTGTTTGGGGCTTGGCTGACTGGATATACTGCATTTCTGGTCAAGTGGAGCGTTTTCGAGGACAAGAAAGTCGTCTAGGTTTTGGTTTGCTGACATGGCGTGCTGGGCAGGAGAAGCTCCTTCTTGGGCCTGGAAGTTTATTTCGAACCACTTTTTGGCCATTATGAATAATGCTGCTCTGAATATTTGTGTACTAGTTTTTGTGTGGACGTGTCTTAATTTCTCTTAGATACGTACCCGGGAGTGGACTTGCTGGTTCATATGGTAACTCTACATTTCGCTTTCTGAGGAACTGCCAAGCTGTTTTCCAAAGGGGCTGCACCATTCTGTTTATATTTCCACCAGCAGTGTGTCTAGTTTCCCCACAGCCTCAAGTTTTATACTTTTAATATGGAAAGAATGGAAAGAGTAGTTCTTTAAGCTTGATCTTCTAGTTCAATGGACACTAAAAAAGTACTTTCTTCTAACACTTTAATTAACAGCACTTGCTATTAGAAAAATGCCCTTCATCCTCCAGGGATGTCTGTGTGGCATTGGGAAGACACTTTAAGAAAGAAGAAGGTGGGAAGATTAATTTGCGTTCAAATAAAAATACAGAGCCTGGGGAATTCTTTCTAGTCTTGTCGTTACACCAATAGCGATTTCTTAAGAAATGCAAATATGTATTGTTTTGCTGTGAATAAGGTGATGTTATCTAAAGGTAGAGACAAAGTACAGGATCCTGTACAAAAAGTGAGATTTTTGAAAGCAAAAAGAATTGGAGTGGGGCCAAGTGACTTAAGAGAAAATAAAAATTTGTTGAAGTAAGATAAAGGAGGTAGAATAGCGCAGGGGGGACGCAGGAGCACTCATGCGTCTGAGCAGCTGTGGAGGGTGGAGGGTGGGGGTGCAGTTGGAGGGACCTGGGAGAGGCAGGTGGCACCCCTTTCTGTGTTGTAACAGGACCACATTTCTGGAGGTGAGATGAGACAATGCACGAAAAGTGGAAAAATGCCTCCTTCTAAAGCAGTGGTGTGACAGCTCATGGCACATTGTGAGCTAAAGCTTATAAAGCACTTACCATGACTGAAACACTGTATTAAGCAGTTTATATACATCACCTCAATTTATCCTCCTAACAACTCTATGGTTTAGGTACAATTGTCCTCACTTTAGAGATAAGGAATCGAAGGCACACAGAGGTTAACAAATTGCTATCTGCACTCCCATGTTCATTGCAAGATTATTCACAGTAGCCAAGACATCATGGAAACAAACTAAGTGTCCATCGACAGAGGAATGGATAAAGAAAATTGTATATGTATGTATATATGCAATGGAATATTATTCAGCCACGAAAAAGAAGGAAATCCTGCCATTTGCAAAAACATGGATGGACCTTGAAGACATTGTGCTAAGTGAAATAAGCCAAATAGAGAAAGACAAATACTGTATAATGTCACTTGTATGTGGAATCTAAAAAAGCCAAACTCAGGGGCCAGCCTGGTGGCATAGTGGTTAAGTTCAAGCTCTCTTCTTCGGTGGCCTGGGGTTTGCAGGTTCGGATCCCGGGCACGGACCTGCGCACTGCTTATCAAGCCATGCTGTGGTGGGTGTCCTATATAAAATAGAGGAAGATGGGCATGGATGTTAGTCCAGGGCCAATCTTCCTCAGCAAAAAGAGGAGGATTGGCAACAGATGTTAGCTCAGGGCTAATCTTCCTCACCAAAAAACAAAAAAAGAGAGAGAAGGAAATAAAGAAAGAAATTGCTCAGGTACCACAGCTGATAAATGCTGGATCTGTGCTTTGTGCCTGGAGCCAGTAAGCCTCCTCAGCTGGTGCCCTTAACCACTGCGCACCATACCTTTCTGCCTGTGTTTGTTTTCTTCACCTACATTGTTTGAATACAATAGTTAAAAGCACATTAAACACCTTGTTATTTTAGTTTAAATAAAATCATTGCCAATAGGTAGTCAAAAGACACTTGATTTAGTAACTTAGTTTTTAAATTAGTTGTAATGTAAGGTAATATAATTTGCTAAGGAGAACGTAAGAGTTGAGGTGGATCGTGCGGGGCCTCATAGATCGCGTTAGGAAAGTTCAACTTTCTTCCAGAGGCAGTGAGAAGCGTTCGGTTTTAAGCTTTGGCATCAAGGAGTCACATTTGTGCTTTGGAATATCTCTCCAGTTGCAGTGAGGGGTTTGTATTGGAGGCAATGGGAGTAAACTGGAGACACACAGATCAAGGTGAGAGATGAGAAGAGTCTGACCCAAGACCAGAGCAGTGGGAATGGAGCAGAGGGGACAGACAGGAATGAGGGAAAGATTGAGGGAGTCGCCAGTTGGTTGTGGGGAATGAAGGTGAGGTGGGAATCACGTGAGTCTCCAGGATTCTGAGGGGATCACAGAGTAGTTGGGGAACAATTCACCAAGATTAATTCTAATGAAATGGGATTTTACAATAATGAATAGAGTTTCCCTGAGAAGGAAAATTTTTCAATCTTCTCCATTTTTCCATTTCGTTTTTTCTTTGCAGTCCTCATTCTGTTTTCTTTGGGTCAAAGCCATTTTCATTTCATCAGCTATGTCATTCTTTCTACAGAAGCAATTCCAGCAGTTTTAATACTTCAAACTCTAATTTATGGAAAGTCTATTCAGGTCCCTCTGTGTCTTTTAAACAGGCAGCATCTTTGTCAATTTCCCGGACCCATTGAGTTTGCCCAAGTGCTTGCAAATGCATATTGTTCGAGGAGATAAATGACTTAACTAGCAAATGGATGACTAACCTGTTGAAACCCTCTTGTGATTCCAGGCTGCCCTGGCAGGAGGCACCACCATGATCATCGATTTTGCCATCCCTCATAAAGGCGGCTCCCTCCTCGCGGCCTTCGAGACCTGGCGAAGCTGGGCTGACCCCAAAGTCTGCTGCGACTACAGCCTTCATGTGGCCGTGACGTGGTGGAGTGACCAGGTGAACCATCTGGGGGTCCGATTTCTTCCTTTTAGTTCCCTAGTCCTTGCTCTGTACCAGATCAAGAAACTGGTAATGTCAAAACGTAAGAAACTGGTGATGTTGGTTGCTATCTGGATGACTAGAAATCAGAACTGGAGGGAAGACTTTCCATTGCATTTTCTTTTGTACCTTTTGAATTTTGAATCCTGTGAAGTATCATCAATTTTAAACACTAAAATTAAAAAAAGATCATATAAAGATGATGGGATAAATCCTTTACACTCATTCACAATAGCCTTTCCTAATATTTAATTCATGAATTGTAAATATTTTAAATGTAATTTTAAAAAGTACTGATCTCCCTTTTTCTCAACATCAACAACTTCAGACTCTTTTAAATAGTATTTTTCCTCAGATTAGAACTTCAATTAGAGGGCCGGCACCGTGGTTTAGCGGTTAAGTGCGCGCGCTCCGCTACTGGCGGCCCGGGTTCGGATCCTGGGCGCACACCGACGCACCGCTTCTCCGGCCATGCTGGGGCTGCGTCCCACATACAGCAACTAGAAGGATGTGCAACTATGACATACAACTATCTACTGGGGCTTTGGGGAAAAAAAAAAAAGGAGGAGGATTGGCAATAGACGTTAGCTCAGAGCCAGTCTTTCTCAGCAAAAAGAGGAGGATTAGCATGGATGTTAGCTCAGGGCTGATCTTCCTCACAAAAAAAAAAAAAGAAGAACTTCAATTAGAAATGTTTCATACCTGGAGAAAAACCAAGGAGGGAACAGACTGGGAACATTTTCAAGGCCTTCTCCAGCTGTGTGGTAACCTGGTGTTCTTCCTACACTGCTCTGCTAATATCAACATCTGGTCAAATCATTTCACGATAGAGCTTAGCTAATAACCTTCCATGTCCGCTAATTACTTAGGCCAGAGCAGAAATGATAACACGATTCAGATGGAAAAGACAGTTGTGAGACATGTTAAAATATGTGTTCATTTCTCCCCATAAAAATGTGTGTGTGTACTTTGGAAGAAATTTTTACTTGTGATTTAAATCAAGAACATATTTTTCCTTATTGGACTTAATTCAGAAATCTTTTTACCAGAAAGAGTTCACTAAGGGTGACTTTATTTGAAGTTACCATGCAACTTATGCCCCTACTTCCCCCTAAAAATTGGGCTTTAGACACCAAGTTAATATAAAACGAATGATCCATCTTGAACAGATAGTTCAGCAAACAATAGCAAGGTTCATAGTCCACAGCTGAAGTTGCTTTTTCTCCAGAATGCCGTTCTAAGTGCTGCAGCTGATCTCTTTGTGCTTTTAGGGTCTTCCTGCCTTCCCTTCTTCCTCCCTCCCTTCCTTCCTCTCTCTTATTTTATAAGGTAGAGCAAGGTGATGATGTTTTCCCTTACCAGTGTTTCTCATGCTTCAGTGTGCTAATTGTTACCTGGTGAACATAAAATATAGATTATGTTCAGTAAGTGTGATATTTTGCTCAAGTTGCTGTAACAAAGACCCACAAACTGGGGGGCTTAAAACAGAAATTTATTGTCCCACGGTTCTGGAGGCTAGAACTTCAAGATCCAGTTTGGCGGGGTTGTTCCTTCTGAGAGCCTTGAGGAAGAATCTGTTCCATGCCTCTCAGCAGCTTCTGGTGGTTTGCTGACGATCTTGGGTGTTCCTGATTTACAGAAGCATCACCCCACTCCCTGTCTCCGTCTTCACGTGGCGTGCTCCCTGTGTGTGTCTGTGTCCAACTTTCCCCTTTTTATCAACACCAATCACACTGGATTATGACCCTACTGACCTCATCTTAGTTAATTACATCTGCAATGCCCCTATTTCCAAGTAAAGGTCACATTTGGTACTGGGGGGTTAGGGCTTTATAGTATGAGTCTGGGGGGGAACACAAGTCAACCCGTAACAGCAAGTCTGGGCCGGGGCCTGAGATTCTGCATTTCTGGCAAGCTCCCAGGTGATGCTGATGCTGCTGGTCCGGGTACCACGCTTTGGAGTAGCAAGACTTAAGCTACTGTGCCTGGGAGCAGTGTAATGGGACTTACCCATGGCTGTGGACGAGAGGGATGATCAATGGGGTCGCCCTCGGAAAGCCTCTTCCACAAAGGCAGTAATAGGCATTCATCTGAGCAACACAGATCATAATCGCCTTTGGGAAGCCCATCATGTGAATATGTTAACAATATTTAAAGCATTTTTTTTGACTATAAAAATAATATACTTGTGGTAGAAAATTTGAAATTATAGAAAAGTAAAAAAAAAAAAAACAACAAAACTGTGTCGAGTCCTATATCACTATATCAAATTCTGCCCTTGCCTTGTCACTTAACATATCGTAGAGCTCATTCTTTCATTTTGGTGATGACCACTGTCAACATTCTGGTGTTTTTTCACTCCTTTTTCTCTCTCTCTCTCTATTCATTCATTCATTCAGCAAATAGTCATTGTATGCCCACTATACACCAGGCACTGTTCTAGGATATAAAGGACAAACCATACAAAGCCCCTGCTCTCATGGGGCTGAAATTCTAGTGGAGGAGGCAGGCCATGAACAAGTAAATTTATAATGTGCCAGGTGATAGTAAGGGAATAGATAGTGATGGAAGTGAGTAACTTAACATGTTATATTGTCATTTTTAACCTTTGCTGATTCAGTAGAAAAAAACTGCATTGTTTTATTTTGCACTTTTTAATCAGTAGGAAGGTTAACATTTTTTCATATTTGTCAGTCATTTGTATTTACTGTTTGAATTGTTGGTAAGATTTCTCACCTGGAATGTTAGGGTTTTTCTTATCAAGTTGTAAGAGCTTTTACCAACTAAGAGCAATAATCCTATGCCTTCTGTATATATATATATTTTTTTATATTTTTGTTATATATTTTTGTTTTATATTTTATATTTTTATATATTTTTTATTTGGTGCGTATGTGCGCATTTTAGCATATGGAAGTTCAAACAATTTTATATGGTCAAATCTTCTAATTTTTTTTTTATTTGTGAGGAAGATCAGCCCTGAGCTAACATCCGTGCTAATCCTCCTCTTTTTGCTGAGGAAGACCAGCTCTAAGCTAACATCTATTGCCAATCCTCCTCCTTTTTGTTTTTCCCCCAAAGCCCCAGTAGATAGCTGTATGTCATAGTTGCACATCCTTCTAGTTGCTGTATGTGGGACTCGGCCTCAGCATGGCTGGAAAAGCGGTGTGTCGGTGCGAGCCCAGGATCCGAACCCTGGGCCGCCAGTAGCAGAGTGTATGCACTTAACTGCTAAGCCACAGGGCCGGCCCATGAATTTTCCTTTGAAGTTTTTAGTCTTTATTGAGGCAGGAGTTAGACCTGCAAGGGCAATTACTAAGCCAGTTTTGATCTTAACTTGTCCCTTACCGTTGGCATGATATTGCCATCTATAAGAAATATATGTTTGGTCTTCATCCCTGTTTCTGGCACAGAGCTCCTAAAACGCTTGGAATTTTCTAAGTGATGACAGAGACAAAGGTGTCGTTTGTTATGTTAATTGAGAGACTTTTGGACCCCACCTAAAGATGGAGTCTGGTTGCCAGAGGAGCCAACCGTGTGATTAGAGGGTTAGAACTTTCAGTCCCACCCCCCAACCTCCAGGGAGTGGAGAGGGGCTGGAGGTTGAGTCAATCACCAATGGCCAATGATTTAATCACTCATGCCTATGTAATAAAGCCTCCATAAAAACCAGAAAGGATTGGGTTCAGAGAGCTTCTGAGTTGGTGAACACGTGTAGCTTTGGGGAGAGTGGCGTGCTTGGAGAGAGCATGGAAACTCCATGCCCTTCCCCATACCTTGCCCTACGCATCCCTTCTATCTGGATGTCTGTCATCTGTATCCTTAATTATATCGTTTTATAGTAAACCGGTAATCCAGTAAGTAAAATGTTTCTCTGAGTTCTGTGAGCCACTCTACAAATTAATCAAACCCAAGGAGGGGGTTGTTGGAACCTCCAATCTGTGGCCTTCAGTCAGAAGCACAAGTAATTACCTGGGCTTGCAACTGGCATTCGAAAGAGTGAGGAAGGGGCATCAGGGTGCTAATGCAGTCTTGTAGGACTGAACCCTTAACCTGTGGAAACTGAAGCTATCTCCAGATAGATAGTGCCAGAATTTAACTGAATTGTACGATACCCAGCTGGTGTCTGGAGAATCGCTTCATGGTGTGGGGAAACTACCCCCCGCCCCCACCCCCCCACCCCCAGCACACACACATTGGAATTGGTCACCAGAACCTTTTAGTTGGCAACCCTGAAGGCTCTTGAGGATTTCCACTGGTCCAGAGTCTCTCACCTCCTAGGAGCTGCCGATGGGTCAAGGTACATCTTCTACTTCCAACATCTAAGAACTCATCCTGTGGGTTTTGGATTTGAGCCCAAACCTTTACCTCACATTTGCTTTGATTTGTTCTAGAGACATGATTGCTTCTGTTGCTGCCAAATGACTGTGTTTTCATTTTCTAGAATAATTTCCTCACGTTGGGAGACAAATGCTGAAAACTTTATATCTAAGTATAGAAATGAAGTACTTTGGGGGAAACTATTAACTCTTTCATGATTTAAAAGTAGCATAGCAGCAACAATTCATCAGATGCAATGGGGTCTAACCTGGGGGAAAGATCAGGACCTTAGTTGCATTTTTCTGGAACTAAACTGATGTCCTTATTTTACTTAATTCTCTTCCAAATGCAACATTTTGGAGAATGCTGAAATTATCTTTAAATTGAAGAGTGACATTTTGGTGTGGTTGTTCTTCGCTTTTAGGTTAAAGAAGAAATGAAAATCCTGACCCGGGATAAAGGTGTGAACTCTTTCAAGATGTTTATGGCCTATAAAGATCTGTACATGGTGAGAGACGTGGAGCTGTACGCGGCCTTCTCTCAGTGCAAGGACCTCGGAGCAATTGCTCTGGTCCACGCGGAAAACGGAGACCTGATTGCAGAGGTAAGCATTCGCACTCCAGAGCTTTTCCAGGAATGAAAACGGCCATAGCTTCAGGTGGAGATGACTGGCCCCAAGTAGGTAACCTCATTTAATGCATTGGAAGAATGGAAATCCAGAAACTAATTTTCTCTGACTTGGAAACCTTTGACTCGGATTCCTTGATTGCCTGCTCTGAGTTTTATTCAGGTGGTATATGCATTTGAATAAGGATTTCCGTTTTTCAAACCAGCTATTAGATCTCAAACATGTTTTCTTATAAAAACACAAATATTTTTCTTTGTGTCCCCAGCACTTTCTTTTTAGTAGCTCAGGCTGTTGGCTCAGAATGCCGATACGTGGACGTCAGTGGAATCTGATGACTTAAACAGTGTATCAGGTAGCTGTTTAAAGCCTCAATCTTCAGAAACTGGGTATTAAAATGTGCTCTGGAGGAATTTAGATGATATTTATTTCTCGTGTTAGTTTCATTATTAATGCCCAAGGGGTATACCAGATGCAAGATTTAAAGAGCTGTCTCTTACCCTTTATCTTAGCTGATTTTTTTCTCTCCCTAGGCTCAGTTCCCATTAAAGTCAGGGAGATTGAGGCTCAGTGGCCAGGAGGCATTGGGGGTAATGAGAAAGGAGCACGAGCAGTCATCTTCAACAGACCAGGGTTTAAACTTGACTTCCACTTCCTAGCTGTGTGATGATACCAGCAAGGCATTTCAACACTCTGAGTCCTGACTCCCTGCCTTTTTTGTGAGGAAGAAATAACATGGAGAGGGGAAATAACTGGTCTAATATCACTCGGTGGGTTGGGGGAGAGGGCACTGAAGACTATGATTCAGTAAAAAGTAGAACTAACCACATAATATAATCCCAAGAGTCTCTACAGCTAACACTGGGGCTAGAATATTTTGTTTGTTCTGAACCAATAATAAGTCTTTTTTTTTTTTTTTGCTGAGGAAGACCAGCTCTGAGCTAACATCTATTGCCAGTCCTCCTCCTTCCGCAAAGCCCCAGTAGACAGTTGTATGTCATAGTTGCACATCCTTCTAGTTGCTGTATGTGGGACGCGGCCTCAGCATGGCCGGAGAAGCGGTGCGTCGGTGCGCGCCCGGGATCCAAACCCGGGGCGCCAGCAGCGGAGCGCGAGAGCTTAACTGCTAAGCCACGGCGCCAGCCCGAATAATGTCTTAATATGGACACCGCTTTTCAAAGAATGGGACTAGAACTAACCCCATATCTTTTTCACCTTTTCAATCAAAGTAATTTAATTGTGAAATACGTATACGAAGCATTGACGGATGCTATCAGAGTATTAGCACACTGTGTACACGCACACATTCACACACCTATACTTTACAGATCTAAAAGCCTAGCAGCATATTTATTTTACAATAAAATAATGGCATTTGTTGTTAGTAAACCTTTCTTGCATGCATGTATGTTCCTGCTGCCTTTTTAGGGAGTGAAAAAGATGTTGGCACTGGGGATAACAGGCCCCGAGGGCCACGAGCTGTGCCGCCCGGAAGCGGTGGAGGCCGAGGCCACGCTGAGAGCCATCACCATAGCCAGCGCTGTGAACTGCCCTCTCTACATCGTGCACGTGATGAGCAAGTCTGCGGCAAAGGTGATCGCCGATGCGAGGAGAGATGGTAATTCCTGAGCTCTCCCCTCAGATGGCTCAGCGTTAGCTAAGGAGTGACGTCAGGGCACTGCATCCTCTGCTGTTGCTTGTGGGAAAGTTGCATGTGAATTTCCACAACTTTTCTTCCTCCCTTTTTATTGGCATCCTTTCTGTTTTCATTCCTCCTGCATGTCTGTTTTTGTCCTTTTTGCTCACCTTTGTGACTGCTTCTCTTCCTTCAGGTTATTTTTTTGCCATCTTTGGAACCTCAAGGCATTTCCTGCAGTCACAAGTCCCCACCCTGAACACCAGCAGCAGCTCGATTTTTAATCTGATGGCTAAAATTAAGTCTCCAGTTAATTTTAAAAAGGCTTCCCTATCTCTTAGGCATCTCCTCTGTCCCTCCAGAACCTGGATCAGGGTAGGGCAGGGCACATGGTAGGTGCTCAACTAATTTCTTTTGAGTTGAACGGATTTGTCTGATAGCAACTTGGGTGTTGGCACAATTGAAGCAATTATCCAAATAGTATTTTCATGACAGTTATTTTAAGATTTTAAAACCAAAGTTATTTTTACCCCAAATTGCCTAATTGCCTCAGTTATTTAGTTCCATTTAATATGTAAATATCTTAAAAGAAAGAGAAAATCTTCTATTTTCGATAAGAATTGGGCAGAGAAATAATTTCATTCATTTGCAGTATTTATAAAGGAAGGACAAAAAATGAATACGGTGCATTTTAATCATTGACTGTAGACCCTCCTGGGATGTGCTAGTAGTTTTTATCGTCTCACTTTTAGGAACCCGGATAATTAGAAATAGTCTTGTAAATCATCCTGGCTGTTTGTTTGTTTGTTTGTTTAAACTGAAACTGGCTGCATTTTTATAATATGGGTTATACAAACTATGAAAATAGATTTTGCATTCTATAATTGACACTAAAATAAATTTTTTCAGAATTGCTTATTGTTGCATGAAACTTTAATAAGGAGTTTGTGCAAACTGAATGGATTTTTAAAATGTAATCCATCAATACCTTATGTTAAGAGTAAACTCAGTTTCACATAGGAGTTAATAAGGTCTTCACCAACCATTTCTGGTTGCCTTTTCCCCCACATCAATTTCAGAAGATATAAAAGCACAGCACTTCAAAAAGAAAATGCCATTTTAAAGTTATAGTATTAGACTTTTGCCACCAGATGGCGCTGTTGCTAACTCTGTGAAATTGGTTCTATAATTGCCTGCACCGTTATGTCGTATACCATGTCCTACAGCCTGTCAGTCAGGTCCATAGTGTCAGAATATGATTTAAGAAACAACAAAATCAGCAGAAATGGGCGATCTTAACCCACCAGCGAGCTACAATTTTGATAGTTCTGTCAGGAAACAGTTTCTTGATCTTGGGTATTTATTTTGCACTGGGATAAAATTCCATTAGGAGCAGAGTAAAAATCTAGAGAAGGTTTTAGAATGCAAATCATAGGCAGAAAACTATTAAACTTAAGTGTGGACATTTTAATTTTGTTTTAAAATTTAATTTTATTTTTGGACCATGTAAAACATTTACATGGTCCAAAAATCAAAATTGTGTGTTAAAAAATGTGTTCTCAGAGAAGTCTTATTCCTTCCCTAGCTCCTTCATTCCACACCCCATAAGTAATTATAATTTATTTTTGGCCTATCTTTATAGTGTTTCTCTGCACAAAAACAGAATATATGTATATTCTCTCTCTTACATGAAAGGTAAAATACTATACATAGTGTTCTGTATCTTGCTTTTTTTCTACTTGAAAGTATGTCCCAAAAGTCAGCTCATATTAGGTATAGGGAGTTTCCTCATTCTTTTCTACAGAGTATGCCACTGTATTTGTTCAGCTAGTCCCCTACTGATGGACATTTGGGTTGTTTCCAATCTTTGGCTGTTACGAATAAAACTTTAGTGATGGCCTTATGCATATGCTATTTCATATGTGGAAGGTGTATTAGTTCTCTATTGCTGCTGTAGTGAATTATTACAAACTTAGTGGCTTAAAACAATACAAATTTATTATCTTATAGTTCTGGAAGTCAGAAGGCTGACACTGGGCTAAAACCAAGGTGTCACCGGGGCTGTGTTCCTTTCTGGAGGCTCTAGGGAGAATCCCTTTCCTTGCCTTTTCCAGCTTCTAGAGACCACCCACACTCCTTTGTTCGTGTACCCTTCCTTCATCTTCAAAGCCAATGATGGTGGGTTGAGAACTTTGCAGTATCTCCTCTTCTGCCTCTCTCTTCTCCTTTAAGGACCCTGGTGTTACATTGAGCCCACCTGATTAATCCAGGATAATCACCTCATCTCAAGTCCTGGATTTAATCACACCTGTGAAATACCTTTTCCCATGTAGGGTAACATATTCACAGGTTATGGGGATTAGGACATGGACATCTTTGGGGCACCATTATTCTGCCTACCACAAGAGGGTATCCTCAGGGTAGAGTCCCAGAAGTGAGACTGCTGGTTCAAAGGGTAAATGCATATGTGCTTTTTGGATATTGCTAAATTTCTTTCCAAAGGGATTGTAAATTTGGAATATTTAAAATGTCACCCCAAATGTTCTAGTTGAGTCAGACTTACTGTAATAACACTTGTGAAAATACTCTAGTGCATGATTGTGAAAGAGGCAGCAGAGCTCCAGAATCGATTAACATGAGAGACTTCCCACCCCAGCATGTGATCAAGGCACGCGATCCAGCAGGAACAGGAAGGGAGCAGCAGGGAGGGTGGAACATAAACAGTGCCAAATCGTTCCCGTGGTGACAGTATCATCAGCAACCCAGAGACCGATCCCAGGAGAGTGCAGAGAGACGAGAGCTGGTGGGCCACACTGATGTTTTACAGAAGATCCATCTACTCTGTCTGTAATCGTTTATTATCTAACATAATTTCTTAACATAAAAGAGCAATACAAGTCTATTATTATCTTGTTTAAATAAGAAACAATTCAGCCTTACAGATTATAACATGAATATTTCCAATCTGTAAATACTTTTGCCAGCCCATTCTATCATCTAGGGCCTTGCCATTCAGACTGTGGTCCTGAGAATGCAGCCTCAGCATCTCTTGAGAGCTCATTAGAACTGCAGAGCCTTGGACCCCATCCCAGACCCCCTGAATCAGAGTGTGCACTTGTAACTAGAACCCCAGGTGATTCATATGCATATTAAAGTTTGAGAAGCACTGCTCCAGGAGGCACAAAAGATATCCAGTTGTTAATTGTCTTTATTGCAGTGGCCTAGAAATGCAATGCTATTAAGTGTGGTTTTATTGTTGAATTGCCAACTATATACCCAGAGGAAAGCAACATGAGGGTTAGTGATTATAACAACCAACATTGTTGATGGCTTAATATGTGCCTGGCACATATTTTAATATACCTTATATCGTTTCAGGTTTTATTATATATTATCTCATCAATGTGCATTTTAATATACATTATCTTTTAAAATGTCATAACAATGCTTCAAGCTAAATTGTATCACTGTTTTGTGACTGATGAAATTGAGGCTTGGAAAAGTTTGGTAAATTAAGCCCAAGTTCCCTTTACTAGTAAGTGTCAAACCTGGAATTCAAGCCCAAGTCCCTCTGACCCCAAAGCCCCAATTTTTTCCACTACTCTCCACTCTGTTCAAGGGGAAATTGGCTTCAGAATTGAGAAATGTGGATAGCAAGTTTATACCTAATTGGTTTTGTTTTGGGCCTTACATGTTTAAAAACTTATTTAAAACGTTATCATTTTGTTATTTTTAAATCATTATTAAAAGAAAAACATGCCACGAATGGAAATGATCAAGAATGTATTAAATAGAAAGTAAAACATCCTCTGTCTCCCTCAACTCAGTCCTTGGAACTAGAGATTTTTAACCATATGTCTTCAGTTTTTTGGTGGTTATCTCCAAAATTCTAAACCATAACTTTGTAAGTAGTAACTTATAATTTTTAACAGTATCCGTTGACTCTCAACTATGAAAAATGAGCAATTTAATTCATGTAAATCTTACCTGTCACCTCATGAGTTTTGTTAGTAATAATTGTCACTTCAAATAATATACTTGAATTTACGTGTTTTGACTATGATTTTTAGTTGTATCTCTTCATTCTCTGCTAGATTGGAAATGAGTTTAGAGGCCCTGCATCACCCTCTCTGCCTCCTCCTGACTTCTGTCAACTGTGTTATCATCTTTACACGGTCAGGGATTACAGCCTTTTCAGTTGGCTCTGTAGCTACCATTAGGTCTCCCATGCTTTGTCTATAGGTTGTCCAAAATTTAGAACTGTGACAATGTAAGAGTGTGGAAATAGTCTTCTCTGTAGAAACAATTAGTGAGAAGAGAACCTCAGAGAAATTTATGTCACTGCCTTGGAGTGCAAGCTAGTGTCATTCAAATTAACTCTCAGAAAAGCAACTGCCAAGTGTCAGGGTCAAGTGGGTTTCCTTTCCAGCCCTCCAAGGAGATTAAAAGCGTGCCTTATTTTAGTTTGCTGCATATTTAGACCATTATTGTCTTGTAAAGCCTTTTTTTTCCCCTTGGGATTTTTCCAATTAGCTCTTTTTAAAATAGGTTCAGAAAAGTGACGTGTCTTCTTTACTATATCATGAAGATTTTCCAGCTGCTTCATCATACCTTCTATTGAGTGGAATCAGCTTCTAGTGAATGAGATCAGCTCTTCTTACAGAGATTCTTTTGCAAAGGTTCTTTCTTAGAAGAAGAATCTTTTGTCTTTCTGTTTTATTTTTGATGGTTACTTTCCAAGCCCACTGTAGAGATGTCTTCCTAGGATTTCTTTTCACAGCGTCCTAGGTTGGATGTACTGTTTCCTGGTTCCCACATCTCCCCTTTCCTTGAAGTATCTTGAAGATTCTCAGGTAATTTTTAAAATAAGAGTGTTGGAAGGTAAATTTTATGATTCCTTGTCCTCAGGCGTGTTTGGCAATTTGAATGGGCATAGAATTCTAGGTTCAGAATTATTTCCGTCTGAATTATAAGGGTACCAT